ATTCCCCCCGTCTCCATTTCCCCCGTCTCCAGAGTGGCCAGGAGCTGGTCGCTCCCCGTGCGCCGCTGCTCTCCGCACAAAAGAGTTCTTCCTGCAACAGCCCGCCCCGCCAGCAAAGCCCCTGTTGCAGTTCGTGTCCGTGAACGCCCCGAGAGTTTAACCCAGGTTCCGCTTTGGCGCGAGCGAGGCCTGCGCCCGGGTCGCTTCGTTAAACAGAAAGGGCAGAATCAGGGAAGCGAAGGAGTTAAGAGTCAGGGGCGAAGCTGGCGAGGAGGGGGTCAGTCCAATCTGCTGCCTGGGAAGGAATCCGGGGCGACGGGAGAAGGTCCGGCACTGGAGCTACAGTGCCGAGGCCAGCCGGGATGGGCGGGCGGACGCACCCCTCCCGAAAACTGAGCATCCCCCCACCCCGACAGCCGGCTAGAACAAGAAGTTGGGGGGTTAGTAACACCACATTTTAAAGAAAAAAAACAAACAGTGCTGAGTTACAGGAGATGCTTAAAGTAAAAACAAAGTAAGAGTTTTAGGAAATGTGATCCTCGAGCGTTTCAGAGCTGCTGCATATTCCTTTCCTTCGTTGGAAGTCCGAACGTTGAAGCCGGGGTCACTGTTAGCCCAGCGGGACCGCAAAGACGGGCTGGGCTGCCAGCAGGAACACTCAGCACAACACCAACGCCAGGCGCAGAATGAAGTCAGCATTACTGACTCTTTCCATTTTTAAGTCTTCCTGGAAAAATGGGAAACGCAGGCCGACGGGCTTCCCAAGTTTCTCCTCACAGTACATCCCCCAGCGTACAAGGGACTAGCCCTGGCAGAGTACTAGTTCAATTTTTTTTTTTTTTTAAATTGACAAATTCACTGCAGAAATAGGATTTTAAAAATAATGGAGCCCTTTCAAGGGGGAACACTGAACCTTTAGCTTCTGCAAATGTAAAAACAACGCGTATTTGCAAAGTTCATTCTGTAATATACATGCATTATTGCTAGAGGGAAAAAAGATGACTGAAAACTCTTCTGCAGCTTTTACGGTGCCATCCAAAATGGCATCTGTTGTTTAGCTCGCTGTTGTGAGGAAGGGTACTGGTATCCCAAACTCCATCCCTGTGAAAAAGTACTTGCGTTTTTATGGCCACCATGTTCCTCCTCTTCATCTGACGAGTCTCCAGCGTATGCCACTAATCCAAAGCCCTTTTCTGCAGTTTTCATCTTCTTAGCTTGATGATCTAGGAGGGGAAAACAAAACAATTCCCCCCCCCCCCCCCCCCCCCACAAAACAAAAAACAAAAAAAAACAATTCCCCCCCCCGCCCCCCCAGAAAGAAAAATAAAACCAAAAAGAGATAAAATGCCCCAAAACGAGTTAATAAAAAAAAAGGCGTTAATTGTAAATTGTTAGTTGGACATCATTTTGAGGTCACAAGGCCAATGGTCACCCAAGGTCGAAGGCCACACCAAACAGCGCCAGCAACAGCACATGTGATCCATCAGAACCATGTAAGAGAACAGAGAAAGAAGAAAGAAACACACAAAAAAGGTAAAGTTAGCAAACGGGTCTAAGTGATGGCAATTTCACCGTTAAAGAGATCAACACGTAAAGAAAAGTAGAAATTATTTTTCAAAAGAAAGCTAACAGCAGAGTAATCTCTGGGACCAATACTGCAGAAAAACTAAGGTTAAACAGGCTGTTGTGATGTACCCGCAGACCTGGAAGGCACTACGCTACCCGGAGGGTTCAAACCATCACACGCTTTACCAAGTCACCAATGCTCGCTGTACGACAGCCCTACGAAAGGACGGCGTCTGACAGCGCTCGTGTTGTTTGCAGACGTTAGCTCCTGTCTGTGAATCCACACCCGAGCCACAGCTCCCACCGACACGCCTTCGTGCCTCTAGAGAGCTGTGCACACCGTACAGCCACACGGCAGCCGTGTCACCAGTCCTGCGAGATTCTGCGCCTCAGCTGACTGAGGGGTCCAAAAGACCTGTCTGTCGTCCTTCACTTCACTGTACTCTCATTCATACGGATATTTATTAATGTTTTAAGAGAAGCACCATGTGTGTATAACCACAGCAAACATAGGTGATTTTAGAGCAGCACTATATGACCTGCTTTTGACTTAAACAATGCGGTATAAAGTACAGCCAAAAAAAAAACATAAATCACCAATTTAAACAAATGTTAGGACCAGCGCAAACATCTGGGAAAGGAAACTCAACTTACAATGTATTTTATTCACCGCACTCACCATGGCTGCCTGGCAAAGACCCCGCAGCACCATTTCTTTCTTCAGATTCTGATTTCATCCCAGTGACAGGAAAAGCTGGCGGAGGCATCAACTGCCTATTTAAACCAATGCAAGCCCTTATTTTTTCTTTTTTTACAACAAGCAAAGAGTCAAAGGTAACAGCAAACAAATTCATAACCCAGTCCTTGACCTAAGGAGTTGAACTTTTAATTGCCTGACTAATCCAGTTGCCTTCTACGATGGAACGACTGCCTCCGTGGACAAGGGAAGAGCAACTGATACCACCCACCTGGACGTCCCTAAGGCCTTCAGTACAGTCCCCTCCAACACTCTTACCTCTAAACTGGAGAGAAATGGATTTGATGGATGGACTATTAGATGGGTAAGGAACTGGCTGGATGGCCGCATCCAAAGAGTTACAGGCAACGGCTCAATGTCCCAGTGGAAACCAGTAACAAGCAGTGTCCCTCAAGGGTCTCTACTGGGATCAATACCATTTGATGCCTTCATTAATGACAGACAGCGGGATCGAGTGCACCCTCAGCAAGGCTGCAGATGACACCAAGCTGAGCAGTGCAGTCCACTCAAGAGGGACGGGATGACACCTGGGCAACCCCCGGCATCAACACAGGCTGGGGGATGAAGGGATTGGGAGCAGCCCTGCCGAGGAGGACTTGGGGTTGTGGGCAGATGAAAAACCAGACACAAGCCAGCAACACGTGCTTGCAGCCCAGAAAACCAATCGTGCCCTGGGCTGCATCAGAAACAGAGTTGCCAGTTAAGGGAGGGGATTTTCTCCCTCTACTCTGCTCTCAAGACCCCACCCGGAGCACTGCATCCAGCTCTGAGGTCCCCAGCACAAGACATGGACCTGTTACAGTGAGTGCAGAGGAGGGCCACAAAAATCATCCAAGGGATGGAACACCTCTCCTGTGAAGGAAGGCTGAGAGTTGGGCTTGGTTGGCCTGGAGAAGAGAAGGTTCTGGGGAGACCTTATTGCAGCCTTTCAATACCTAAAGGGGGCTTACAAGAAAGATCAAGAGACTTTTTACCAAGGCCTGTAATTACAGGACAAGGGGGAATGGTTTCAAACTAAAGGAAGGCAGATTTAGATTAGGTACAAGGAAGAAATTATTTTCTGAACAGTGATGAGACACTGGGTTTCCAGAGAAGCTGTGACTGCCCCCTCCCTGGAAGTGGTCAAGGTCAGGCTGGATGGAGCTTTGAGTAACCTGACCTAGTGGACATCCCTCCTCATGGCAGAGGAGGAGGACTTTTACAGGACCTTTAAAGGTCCCTTCCAACCCAAACCATGCTATGATGCTATGAAATGAAGTGCAAGCCAGACAGTTTTGTGGCTTAAGGCACTGGAGTGCATAAGGAGAAGTAGTGATGCCTGATGACTCCAAATAGCGATGCTGAATTTAGGACTACAGACAAGATGAAGAACATAGAAAAGGTCACCAATACCCTTGCTGTATTTCATAATGACTGGAAAATAAAACGAACTAGCAAGAAAATCTTCCCCTGAAACTTCAGGATGCAAAATTTTAAGTTTACAACGTTTTCAGATTTGTTTTAAAATTGGAATATAGTGTTAAGTGCTAACCTATTTCACAGGAATATCCTGTTATCTCAAGAAGTTGGCAAAATACCAGACCCAGACAAAGTAAGAGCATACAGACTCAGGGAAGAGTGGAAACTAAACTATTTTCATCATGTAGCATGAAAAGATAACCCAACAAAAAACCTCTTCTCCCCAAAAAACCCAACAAAAAACCCACCAGACCCACCCACAAGAAAACAAACCCCCAAGTCACAGAAGAGAACACAAAACACAGATCATCTCTGAAATTAGCTTTCCATCAGAATGAGAAAAGACCCAACTGTAATTCTCTCATCACTCACCTGTCCCTCTCTCTCTCCTTTCCTGAGGAACTTGCTGGCTTCGACCCGGCTCCATCGATTTCACTCTGACTGGAGAAGCCTGTACCTAAATTAGTCATATGAATGGGTCCATGCTATGAGCAGAAAAACACACGGCATTAGCAAATCTACAACTACAACATAAGCTATAGCTCCTTAATGATAATGATAGGAAACCCAACTTTTCAGAGCATACTGCCAACTAGCAGAAGAAACCACTAATCACCACTGTTCAACAGAATGCTTTCTCCTAAAAATACTGAGGGTAACGTAGTAAGAAATATGCCTGAGCACCAATATGGAAGAGTCCTCACCACCTACTCCACTTTTTCAGTAGTTCAGGACAGTAAAGATAGCTACTTAGCTCATGGATCAACTTAATGCCTCCTCAATCAGCTCATTCTGAGTACTGTACAGGCGTCACGCCACACTAAACTCTGCCTGAGGTACTAATATTCGGTCTAACACCCAGGCAGTTCCTTACTGACTCCAGGCAAAGCTTTTATTAAGGGTTTCTGCCTGCGAGCAGGGGCGTATCAGAGACGCCTTTGCAGAAACTCCCTTTTCTCACATATAAGACTGAAGAACTCAAAATAATTTGTATTAACTGTAACGTTTGCTATCAAAAAAAAAAAAGGGAAAATCAATCTCTTAAAACTAGGCTTCTTGAAATCCTCTCAAGTGCAACCTGCAAAAAAGGTAAACGGGAAAATCTGGAAGTTATTACCACATTTCCCTCACACCCCTCAAACAAGGCCACCCAGAAAAAAACAACCCAAGCCCCTTCAACCTAACCAGTAACACGCTACTGTCATCTCTTTGAACTGAACGCACCACTGTTCTTCAAGACTGAGGCTATGGAAAGCAAGCTGCCAATGAATCAAGTCACGGTTTAAGAACAGTGCATCCACTCAAAGAAACCAAAGCGTGCTCTTGACGTTTTGTAACAATTGCTGCCATCTGCCAAAGGTCTTGCATGACTGTTGCCAGACAAACCATGCTAATAACAATCGCTCTCTAGCCAAATTCCATTTTTGGTGAACTAAGTAAAATTGTCGATTTTATTCCACCTGATATCCCAGCAGTCCCGACTCTCTCTCATCCGGCAGCTCCTCAGTGAAGCGTCTCTTTTGACCTTGGGGATGGGGCTGGACTTGTGGCTGTGTACCAGTCGGCATGGTTGTTTTCACTGGGGCAGCAGGAAGAAAAGGACCGCTCAGTGGACTCTGGAACGCAGAAATTGAAAACAAAACGCAAAAAAAATTGATAATATGCATATAAAGTACTAATTCATTCTAGAGTTTCATACATAGGAGCAGAACACAAAACCAGTTTCTCTATGTGGAACCCAAGAGAACCTAACAGGAAATTCCCAACTTAAAGATTAACCAAATATTTCATTTCTAGAATGCTCCCATCTCAAACTAATCACTATCCCAGAATCCCAGCATGGTCAGGGTTGGGAGGGCCCTCTGGGGATCCCCCAGCCCAGCCCCCTGCCCAAGCAGGGTCACCCAGAGCCGGCTGCACAGCACCGCGGCCAGGGGGGTTGGAATATCTCCAGAGAAGGAGGCTACACAGCATCCCTGGGCAGGCTGGGGCA